GCCACCCAGCCAGATTGTGGCTGGGTGGCACAGTGGTGAAGTGACACTGCCTCATGGCTCCGGGGTTCAAATCTGTTGTTTGGACAGCTGTCTGTGTGGAGTTTGCATGTCCAGCTTTGATTTGATTGGCCACTCTAAAATCTCCTGATGGGTGGTGGGATTCAAGGGAGTTTCATACTTGTGTGTGTTGGAGGGGAGGTTCTTGGTGCAAACACTACTGGGACTGCAGAGAAAATGAACAAACAAAAGGAGGCTTTTTGGTCCAGTGTGGCCTTTCTGATGTTCTTACAGGGCTTGAGAGCAGAGTCACAGTGCCAGAGGAACAGCTTACCTACGTCATAGCAAGGTTGCAGCCTGAGGCAAAAGGGAGACGGAATCGGGCATCTACGAGCCTTCAGGATTAGATTATTATTAAATCTCTCGTGATCAGGATTTTGTTGGGGTTTTTTTGGGGGGCGGCTGCATATGTGTACAGTATTTCACCCATTGTAAAGTTGCTCTTTTTGACCGTAGACCGCATAGTAAATTAGTTCGGCCTGTCAGGTGTCTACTGTGTTTATGGCTGCGCGCATTCCATTAGTTGATTTAACACTTAGCGCTGTGGGAGGCTCAGTAAAACGGGGCCTGTTAACCCTCGAGGGCCTGAAGCGCACAACTGATGCCCCACCTGCGCTTCACGATTTGCACCCAAGCTCAAGCGGCAGACGGAATGATTAATCCGCTCATCAGAGGCTGCCGGCTACAGCCTCTTATTATGAACGAACGGCACTGTACACAATGTTTGATGTTCTGCCTCTTGAAAGATTAACATTTCTTGGAAGAAAAGAACAGAACCCGTTCGCTTTCATCCTGTACCTTGTTTGTTTGAGACAATTGGTATTTCTGGAAAGGTGCTCTTCCATAGTGCTGTCCTCTGGCTCTAACTGTGTTGTTTGCTTGCTTGCTTTGTGTCTGGAGGTCTGTTTTTGAGTGACTTGTTGCCGTTTTCCTTTCCAAGTCGGCAGGCTCATCCAGTAAAAATTGTAAAAGGACCGTGTTGGTAGCGCCGGTAAAGAAAACACTGTTTGTCAGCGTCTGTGGAAAGCTGCGGTGTCAGTTTCTAGCCGCCCCATTGCTGTAGCAGTAGCAAATATGTTTTGTCAGCAAACATTTTGACTGGAAAGTCTAGAAATACCTACCGACAAAATTATCCCGACTATACTGTTATCCGGAGGGAATGATTTGGCTAGTAAATACAGCAAGAATGTTGATCTCCTTAGGACTAAGACTGGGATCAGGAGATACCAGGCACATTAACAGGAAAAACCCCACAGAATTTTAATCCATTGGCAGTGATGTGGCATGCTGGAATGGCATTTAGCGTTTCTTACTCGCAGTTCTTGGACTCCGGGTTTGATTCTGGCTCGTGGCACCTTCTGGGTGGAGTTTGCATGTTATTCCCAGAGTTTTGAGTTTTCTCCAGGGTGCTTTGGCTTCTCTCCACAGTCCAAAGAGGCACAGTCCTGGTTAACGGGTATCTCCCAATTGCTTTTCCTGTACGTCCAGGGCCATCCTGCCTTGCGTACATTATCTGTTGGGTTAGTCTCCAATTCAAGTCAACCCTGCATGGACCACAGTTATTTAGTTAATGGTGATTTTTTTTTAAGGTGCTACCCATTACTGTGCAATCAATAAAATCCTGCTTTCATACGCAGTTATAGAAAGATATCTACTAAAGCATGCATACAGTCTACATAGTTCTCAGTTGTCAGGTATATACGAGTCCTTTAATTTATTAATCTTCTCAACATAATATTAAGTACCTTAATGTCAGGATCTCCATATGCATTCAGATAAATTAATATTTAGCTATTAGGTCCATTTTTAAAATAACCATCTAGCAATTTTCTAACCGCTTGATCCAATACAAGCTCGCAGGGGAGCTGGAGCCTATCCCAGCAAGCAACAGGCACAAGGCGGGGTACAGGACACCAGTCCATTACAGGGCCCACACAGACACGTACGCACACACCCCAGAAGCCAATTGACCTACAGTACCAGTATGCCTTAAATTGTCATAAATAATCTGTGTCTCGATACGCATGTAAAAGAAGGTGAGAATGCCCAAACACAAATCCAGAAGGTTACACTTACCTTCCTACTTTGGACAAGAACATGTGTCTGGATTGTGACTAATAGGAGGAATTGCATCAGGGAATTTGATTTTGAAAGGGTTTCTAAAGGGTTGTTTACAACCACACAGTGCGATACTCACCCACGACACACATATCTATCCATCCATTTTCCCTGTTTTATCCAAAACAGGGTTGAGGGGGAACAGGAGCCTGTCACAGCTGACACACCAGGACCAATGTTCCTTCCAGTATGTTTTTGGACTAGAGGTTGAAACCAGAGCTCTTCGAGGAAACTCACATGAACACGGACATAACATACAAACTCCACACAAATAGCATCCCACAATTTGAACCCTTTGAAATGACCAATGATCTGCAGTTTACTTGGGTACAAAGCCGACTAGCTGTTGAAAGATACGGGGATCAGCAGTTTGGGGGAGATAGGAGAGAAAGTGTTAAAACGTTCTTAGGTGCCAAGTAAGGACGACTGCCTTTGCTTTCATTTCAGTCAGCACCCTCTGATAACGCCTCTCCCTTTTCATCACTCTCTGTTGCCAGTGCAGTGGGTCCCGTGGCTTATGAATTTTCCTCAGACTTCCCGGGAGTTGTCTATTAAAACTCTTCAGGCTTCAGCGGCTGCGCGATATTTACATATGAGGCCCGTCTGAAACGTGAAATGCCATGAAATTAGACGGAAAGCGAGGCAGAGAGAACACCGAGAGCAGGGACATTTCGCAGGGAAATGGAAGGTGCCGCCCAATCATCTTCACGATCTCATTTTCTGTCTTAAAAGGTTACCGTCACCTCCGTTCTAATGCTCACCTATTAGGCATCTGTTAGGCACGGATATGTGACCGGTTTATCTTAAAAAAACATTGATAGGCACTGCACAGCACAGCTATGTGAGTGAAGAGGCTTTTGCTGGATTTGCTATGATGTACCCAAATTTTAAAGGAAATAAAGGCATTACAATGTGTTTTTAGGGAAAGGGCTGTTGGGGTACTGTCACTGACACAACTGGTATGTCTGTATGGAAAGAATTCTTATGACCAAAATTAATCAAAAGGAGTTGTATTTTTCTGTAGCTCATGAATAGGTTGGTGTCCCTCACATTCTGGCCCGTCCTGTAGACAGTGGTTTCATGCCGATGTACAGGACAATGAGAGACAGGAAGTGGAGGAGAGGATGCTGGGATTGCCCATGCAGGGCGTGATTGGGGAAATGGGCCCTCTGAACAGGGAGATGGCTGCATGCGAGAACAACATTTTCAGGATGGAAAACAGATGAGAAATCAAGGGAAGTGTGTGGAGCAGTGGTTAGGATTCTGGATTTATCAGATTGGAGCGTTCACAATCCTAAATGCAAAAACTGCTGTTGTATCCCCTGAACAAGGTCCTTCATCCAACTTTTTGCAGTAGAATTCCCAGCTGTATGAATGGGTCCGAGTGTAAGTTGCTTTGGATTAAAGCAAGAGCCAAGTAAATCTCATTTGGTGTGAGGACAGATGGATGGTATATGCGTATGGAGACTACTATTTTTTTTTATCTGAATCGCTGTGAACAGCACGCAAATTGTTAAGACAAAAAGTCTTACATAAATTCCAGGAAGGTGCAAACAGTTTACTTTGAATGAATACATAAAATGCTTTCTTAAATACACCGGAACATATGGTGATGTTTGTAGAAGGTGTCAAGCTGTCAGGCCTGAAAGTTTAAAGTGTGCACCAATTAAAGCAGTGTGAAAAATGCACAGGAAATGTATTCTCGACGAAGACTGCTGGAGCGATGGTTCTTACTTTTTTATAACGTGTGTGCTGGTCAGTCCATCCGCATTCAGTATTCTGCGTTCGTGGGATCAACTGACTGCAACCCATCTCAGCTTGCATTTATGACTCCCTTTAGGAATCCTAAGATATCTGTGACTTTTAAATACGTTTCAGATTGTCTTATATTTACAGGATCATTTATTTTAATCAACTTTTTCACTTCTTCATGGCCGAAATCTTCTTTAACGGAAATAACGCACAAATGTGGTCACTATGATCCCGTGCTGTATATATAGATTTTCGATGCACGAAATGGTCATTTTGCCAGTATCGGCAAGCTTTTGACACAGGGCATCTGCTAAGCAAATAAATAATGAGACGGTGTGACTTCAAATCTTAGGCGTTTTTTTTCTCCAAAGGGACTTTTGTTCACCCGAGTTGCTCCGGTAAAACACCCGGTTGTAGAAATGGGTGCAAACGTCAATGGCTTGAGATAAAAGCGTCAGACAAATAAAACAGAAGTAATACTGAAAAAGAATAATGTGGCTTTCCCTTCAGTGCGGTGGAAGCTGTTTTAGTATTTACTTCTCCTCCTCTTACACTGGATTTCGGAGAAGTTGCGGTGTTAAATGTGCTCTTTACGACTGCCATATGGTTCCCAGCGAAAACACCTTCCGCTGGGCTTTCTTTTAACCGCATTCAGATTGATACTGAATCGCAATTAAAAACGGGATTGAGGGTTCTCATTTAGCTGAAATGACGGGACTGGTAATCTAAGAAATGACCTTTTATTGGAAAAAACAAAACAAAACAAATTGATATATTCCTGAAAGAGACAGTGCAACACTTACATCAACTCATAACGGCTTGGTATCCGTGTCCCGCACCTCTTAGTGTGTATTCCCGAGCGTGGCCGTGGCCTCTCCGCGCCTGCAGAGTGAGTTTATGACAGCGGGGACGTGGGCCAGCAGCGGGTGATGTTTCTTATGTTAATAGCGCTAATACGCGTTTAATCATCTCTCGCGGTGTACTGCGCGCACTTCAGAGAAGGGCGAACTTGGAAATCACTTGTCTCAACTCCCCCCCTCCTCTCCTTCCCCACCAGCCCTCCTATCCCTCTCTCTCCGACTCGGTCTGTGTGGTTACGAGTTCGAGCCAAGGGACTCTTGCTAGCGCTGTTTTCAAAGTCTGGAATTGATTTTCATGGGGAGTATCCTTTCGCTTGCCTTTCAACCTATGGATTTATCGGAGCATTCTTGCTCCGCTTAAACGTAGCAGCCGAGCGACGGTTCTCACCTTTCTTCCCGTCTTTTCCCCCCAGTCGCTCAAGACCGCGATCTCTGCCTCCGCCGGTGCTTCTCAAACAGCGGGCGCTTGCGGACCGGTTTCTGACGGAGCGAACTGGCAGAAGTGCGCTCTTAGTCGGATACAAATCTAAAGCGAGGATTCGCCTTTTTAGATGCAGATGTAATTTCCCCCCCCCTTTTTTATTGAACTGATTCGGATTTCAATCGGCGAAACTGAGCTTTCATTGTTTTTTTTTATATTTCTCCTAAGGGAATTTTGTTTCACGGATTTGACAGCGAATTGGGTAAGTGGCACTTAATGTAATTTACCTGTAATGTCAAACTGTGGCAATGTAAATGGGGGGGAAAAAACGCACAGGGACATGTCGGCAGTCATCACGGGCTAATTGTAACAAGTGGACAAGAAGGCTGTTGGTACACGTTTTAGTGTAAGCTGTTAAATTACTAGGAAACGGCTTTTTAGATAAATCCGTGCCAGATCTACATAACGGCTCGCATAGAATTGAACTGCGCTACATTACGTCAAAGTGTTAATTTTGGAAAGAGTAAAGAGGTTAGAGAGATTGGGTGCGTGATCTGTTTTTTTTTATCGCCGCTTATACATTCACAAAACCATTAACATCTACACGTGTTTTGCAGTCCGTCACTGAAACCCGTGTTAACAGTTTATAGGCGTTTTCCACGTACAAATCCCAGCACCTGGTTTTAGTTTAAATTCATAGTGCTTTCCTGTGTTAGCATTTCTCAAACTATTTAGTTCCTGATCACTACTACACATGAATGCAGAATCTTATATATGTATACACTGTAGCAAAATTATTATTATTATTATTATTATTGTTGTTGTTATTAAATGGGAACACTTAGAAGCGGTACTTGCCGATCTGGGAAGGAGAACAGGTGTTTAGACGCTCCAGGGTTGTTGTTTTTTTTTAAGCGGAAGGTTTGCGTTAAGTGCCCCATTTTCTCCTAAGCCCGTGTGGACTCGACAGACCTAACTAAGCAACATTAGAAATCAGAGCGTGTGGAAGTTGTCAGGGGCTGCAGAGACTTTCAAACGTGTGCTCATTTTTTTTTTAAATTTCGACCCGGGCCAGTTCGCAATGCCAAACAAAGCAATATATCCCCACAGTTCGGCTCAGAATTCAGCGGGGAAGCAGACGCTTAGCCAATGATCGGGAATATCAAATATTTTGGGACATTAGCACAGTCTTTACATTAAACAGGCTCCGGGGGTTTCTTAATCCCCAATGTTTTGCATACAGCTCGTTTCTGTGAATTTTGCATAGCGCTTTCACAAGGCAACTGTTGTTCTTATGGTATAGGCTGTATTAACTAGGCGCGGCAACATAAAAAATGAGAGCTGAGAGTTTGTGCTAGTTTTTAGCATTGGGCCGCTGTGACATACCCCGTTTTTTGGCTTCGTGGGTCTGCGTTAACCCTAATTCAGAGGGGCGCACCCCACATCACTGTAGGTTAACGCGCGTCGTGCGGGATAAAAGGCACTAAGATACAACAGAGTGACATAGTCCGCTTTTCTTTTATAAATGGAAATCAGTTTCCCGGAGTAAAACTGTCCAGATTTTGATTAATTTCGCCACTTGGAACAATTTATCTAGCAGGCAGAAATTTCTCGCCTTTAGGGTGTATTTAACATTCTGGAAACGATATGTGAAATAAAATCCATATACCAGCGTGTTGTGGGAATAACTGGAGTCATTGCAGTGACTTTCACGTTCGAGAGAATTCGCATATTTTTCGTGAAACTGTCACGTATGAATTATTCTACAGATTACCAGGTTTCCAGAAAATATCGGTGCTGACAGCTGGGGTTTGTCTGGTCTATTGTTTAACAGAATCTTTTCATAGACTTTAGAAATATCAGAATACAGCTAAAATTGTGTTTCTTAACTGATTTTAAAGTGCAAATAACACGCATTCATCAGGCAGAAGTGAACTAGTCGTAATCAAAAAACAAAAATGGCAAAAAACGTTTTTTTTCCGGAGGCTATTTTAACATTTCGCAATAGTATAATATATATTTCGTATTTCGGCATCCTATCTGTGTGGTTCCCAACGTAATTGGAGTTGAAGGGCTTTTCCAATTCAGTTAATTTAATTTCAGAAACGCGTATCTAAAGCAGCAAGGTACGTTAGGGTTGCCAACATCTGTGCGTTCAGTTTCCATTTATCATCTGCTGTTTGAACCAAGGGTCTGCTTGTGATGATTACCATTAATGGGCGGCTTCTAATAGTAATAGTACGCAATTAGTTTTGAATGTCTGCGATCGTAAACCATAAATCATAGCAGTTATAAGGTAACGGGCAGCGGACCGAGCAATGCCCACTATTTCAAATTCGCCAAAAGTATATCTGGCGGTCAGATATACCATTCACACATAGATATGTGTTCACACACGTACTGTAAGTAACATTTGGAGACGTCTTTTCCTGTCACTTTAAACCCTAGGGTAGCTTCGAACTAGAGTCAGCATGAACTCGGGGTTGGTTTGATTAAATGGATGTGTGGTGCACAGGGGTGGGTTAATTCTCTTAATGTACAGGATCTGTGGTCTCCAGGGAGCAGCAGGCTCATCTCAGCCATGAAACACACACATTTTTTGGCCTTTTGGCGGTGTCAGACCAAGAGGGTAAAATCAACAAGTCTCCAGTGGATTTTTCTCCCTCGGGTGAGCAGGTTGGCGGGGGGAGGAAGGAATGCTCTTCGTTTTTTGTTTCCAGGCCTCTCTCTCGTTTCTTTTTTTTTTTCCTGCGTTGACCGGGCCGTGTGAGGAATAAGATTTAAAAACAAATTACGTGACGCTGCCACTCGAGACATGTTGCAAATGGAAGAGTAATTTGCATTGAAGGTCTGTCCCAGACCCTGCTTCTTTGCCTGTGATTGTAACCACGGGCTTCCCCTTTGCTTTCATCATTTCAGCAGTCTCTCAGAACTGGGAGGTCTTATTTAGTTCCTGTCAGATTGTTTAGTTCAAAACAGGCTTGTCCTCAGATGAGGTGATGTTTTGTGTTCCACGCCTGAGTATGTGTCTCCACTTCTTTGCTTTCTTTCACTTGTGTATTTTTGTTTTTAGGAAAACAGTCATGTTCACTGCGTGTCTCTGGAACATGGGCATGTCTGTTCACAGTCGCCTTCTGTGTTTTCTCCCCCAGTAGGTTGGGGTTTAAGAAAATAAAAAAAGGGCTAAGATAATCATCTTGCCTTCTCTAGAGGTCAGATGTTCAGTCATATAGGCCACTTGATCACACTTCTGACGCTCCCAAGTAATGAACAGTGGCAATGAGAGGTGGGAAAAAAAACTTTCAAGCGCAAGTAACTCCTCTCTGTAAAAAAAAAAACAACAGAAAAACGTTTTCCACATTTTTTTCCACGGATTTCTCTCCAGTCAGTTTCCACAGACATTCTCTGGTCGTGGTATGTTGGCAAGTGAATTACCCAGTAAGCGGTGATTCTGTTTAACTGGCAAATTGTTAAAACTGGCTGTGGAGTCTAAGTATCAAAGGCAAGATTAGTCATTTATTGATGCGTAGACTGTGCGCCTTATTTTTGGGAGCGGTCTGGCCTTGCTGAGTTGCTTTGATTATTTTTGTTTGCCGGATCGTCTAGATAAAATTCAACTTTTTTTTTTTCCTCAGAAGGAGTTACTGAGCAGTGTATTGTAAAAAAACATCAAACATTTCACAATTACCGCTCAGCGTCGTCGTTAGTATTCAGTGTTAGTTAAAAGAGCTCCAAATATTACTGCTTGAAATAGAAGATTGAACACACTCAGGTTCGCAAGGCACAAGGCTGACTTTGCGCTGAGGGGAAAGTTTCTGACTTGTACCTGAGAAATTGTCCTCTTTAAGTTATGGATATTTTTATTTTCACACATTAGGTGGAATGTGCAGCATGATAAGTAAATGTGTAAGGCTTTATGATCCAGTGCTAAGTAGCCCTTTAAGAAGAGGTCCCCCTTGTAGCATCCAGCATATAAATATTATTGTGACTTGCATGTTAGTTTGGGGGCTTCATATTTAATCCAGTTCGCTTAGGAGTCTTTCTTCCATGGTTGCACATGGTTCGAATTCTGTGAAGAACAGTGAGAGGAAGAGCAGTTAGCATGACGAGGTGCTTGAAGTAAAACCTGCTCTGATGGGAGACTGGGCTGGTAATAATGGTCATTAATCAGAGTACGTGGCTCATGTCTCTCCTGGCCGGCGCATGATCGTTCGTCATCGCGAAGTCTCGCAAATCGTTTCCCGTGGAATCCAGAAAGAGATTCCTATTCCTCGTCAACTGCTCTCAAACAGGCTGCCAAGTCCACATGTGTTGTCTCTGCAGATTTCCTCCAGATGCTGGAGATTTCAAGATGTGAGAGGTCTCCTATGTGTGTCCTGGTCACGCATTCTTCAATTCAGGGGTGCGGACAGTGGATTTGTCTGTGCTCATTTCCCAAACTTCCCAACATGTCAAAACAATGGCATTTCAAAAGCATGTGGGGTTGGGCCGTAGCTCGGCCACCTCTGGCTTCAGTTCGTCAGTGTGCTGTTTAGCTCGGGGCCTAATTTCAGTGGTGATAAGAAGTGCTGGCTCATTTTCATTGCTGTGGAGGTGAAGACATATTACTGGCGGAGAGCAGACACTTGGATTTTCATTTCAACTCCTGCTACTTAACGGTCCTGTTTCACAGCTAGTCCTGAGAATAGGTGTGGTACTTTCTGTCTTCCACAATGCCTTAGTGCAGTAATGGATCTTATAATGTCCTTGTTGAAAGCATTCCTGATATATCCCCAGATTTTCCAAGTGATACTTGGTTGTTTTGACCTTTTTGGTTACAAAATGTTAACCTACATGATCTTTTCAGGAACATACTTGTGTTTTTGAAGCTGTGGATGATCATACAGTATCCTGATGACCAAAGGTAAATGTCAATGCCTCTGATGTTGACCAAGATCAAGCAATGTAGTGTCGTACGATTGCTGTCTCGGTGCGCAAGCAAAAAAGTGGAGTGACCAGACATTTGATGGGGAAATGCCTTAAAAGGTGGCAGGTGTGAGCTGTAACCAAGTGTTCGCTGACACAGCCCTCAGGGTATTGGTCCAGACCATCTGAAGAGTGAGGCTTTGAACCTGCTGTTTAATAGAAACAGACTGCGAGGGGATTGAAGAGTTTCGAATGTGCAGCTTGCAAATGCTGGCCTGACTCATCGGCAGAGTGCACACTAACTGCTTAGCTTGGCAAGCTCAGATCCCTGACCCACAAGAAAAGATGAAGATGGAG